GAGTGGTAAGTTACCCATTTTTATTGATAAGGCCTTTCCTCTCTGGCGAGTACATGTAACGCACTTATGCACTGTTTGCTTGGCTAAGTTACGACCCTTGATTGGCCACCAGTTATCCCTTACAGTTGCCAAAAGCAACTGAGGACCAGCATGGAGTAGACGCTTATGTTCAAATCGAAATAACAGGCGAGTAAATGTGTGGTTAGAACATAACAATATCGGATGTTTCTTATTATAAGAAAATGTTTCCGAGTTTACTAATCTACCCCCTACTCTAATAATGCGATCAGAATCTAGAAATGGATTGAGACTAGATATGTTTCTCATAGACTTAGTTTCTAAGTTCTTATCTAACGCATTGATAACATCCGGAAACGACATCTGTTGTGTTATGCGAACTAACAAAATCAAAAATACTAGACTCACTTGATTGTGTAAATAATGAATTAATGTTTGATTTTATTTCTGGTAAATTTTGTAAATCAATAATTTCGTTGTTATCGTGATTAAAATTTGATTTAATATCAGTTAAAAACGCTGGCCCATGCCACCAAATATCCGAATGTTGGAGTATATCAAGCGTGACTCCACGTGACAAAAGGTCGGCCGGGTTGTCTTTACCAGCAACATGTAACCACGGCAATTCACCAGTCAACTCATTAATCTGTACTACTCTGTTTTGAACGAAAGGTTTTAATAAGTTAGGTGAAATTTTAATCCAGTTTATGACTATAGTTGAATCAGACCAAAAGTATACATTGTCAAATGTTAATCTTAATGACTTACTTATTTTTTGGTATAACTTGGCACCAACTAAAGCGCCACATAACTCAAGTCGCGGGATAGTAACGGGTTTAATTGGTGCTACCTTACTCTTCGCACAAAGCAGTCTTACTGTGACCGGTATGTTGTCGCTATACGTGCTAATGTATGCGCATGCACCGTATGCATCTTGCGACGCATCCGTGAATATATGTAAATCTGTGTATGTCGCATCTAATCCCCTTACATGCCGAGGAATTTTTATATTTTTTAAATATTGAAGCGTATTAATAAAATGTTGCCATATTAAAAGAATGTGCTTAGGTACAGGCTCATCCCAACTTAATTTACAAAGCCACAATTTTTGTAAAAGTATTTTTGCGATTATAATTGAAGGTGCTAACAAACCTAAAGGATCGTAAACCTGAGAAATAACAGATAAAATAACTCGCTTAGTGACATGAGTCACGTTATGCTCGATCTTTGTAGTGAAATATAATAAATCTAAATTATTTTGCCAACCGATACCTAAAGTTTTAGTTAAACAATTCTCACCTA